GTATATGGCGGTTTTTAATACTGTAACGCTAGAATTTTTACAGGCTTCCAAAATAACTAGTATCTTTTTATTTCAGCCAACAAAATGTGGTGAAAAGGAAATATCAGAAACGTTGTCTGAATCAATAAGCAGTTCAAATTCAATTTTGATAGTCCGAGCAAAATTGTACTTAAAAATAAATTACGCAAGTGATGTCTCCTAAGTCTAATTTGAGTAATGTATACGAAGCCTAAGTTTTTAAATATAGTTATAACTTAGTAACGGAATCAATAATTCAATGATTTAATGGCTCAAGCAGAAGTTATGGAGTTACATAAATTTTTAATGAAAACGAATAAACAGAGCACGCATTAGTTATTATACACTGCGTGCACTTTTACGTAAATTCGAATTGCTTTTACACTATTATTTACCAGCTGCGTATAAATACATTAGAGAATGCTATAAAAGTAGTAATAATGATTTTTGAAAATAAATTCATATTTTTATATTTATCATATTTACCTTTTAAAGTATTAAATAAAATATCATTAAAATGTAATTCTGACATAATATTATGTCATATTACATTGAATTAGCACATAAATGCAAAATAAATAACAAAAAAATTGTAATCGATATCATTTACAATACAATCTAAATAAACCGTTACTTATTACATACTGATCATTCTACCTAAGTATAATCTATGATGACAAAAATCGCGCATGCGCAACTCTAATATTTACCGCGCATGCGTGAAGACATAGAGTAGCGCACATTTTTCGTTTTTTTAGCTTCTCTAGTACGTAGTACATTATAACTCAATGTCTACGTATTTAAATTTATGCTCATCCAATTTTATCAAATAAAGGTTAAATTTCTAAAAGCTGTAACCTATAAATATTAAACCTCTGATAATTATCCTGGCAAAACTTAATTTATTATATTTTCTGTTAATTTTTAGGCCTACCACGTTTGTCACGACGGTCGCGAGGGATATCAAGAAGCATATTTCCTTTGTACTAATGGTACGCTCTTTTATCAAGCTAAATTTGCTTGTGACTGGTATAACGTAGATTGCTCACAGGATATTGAATACTATAAGTATTATCAGTTTTTTCTATAAAGCTAAAATAGCAAACGAAACTGCTAGTACACTAGATGGTATGTGGCTACTGCAGTCCATTAACACCTGCAGACAACGTCAAACAAATAAAGCTACATATGTGTTGTTACCTTTGAGGAATACAATGGAATGCCTCACAACTTGTAATTATAGTGGTTCTCTGCACCATTCAGTCCGGAACACAGCAGTACAGGTACTGCTATTTGACGGCAGAATTAGGTTTGTGGGTGTATTTTCTCAGATGTACTCCGCAGTAGAGGTGTCTTATTAACTAGTTCAAGTTACTCAAAAACATAGGCCAATAAACGGATTCAACTCGGCTGGGCAGCGTTCGGGAAATTACGATACATCTTCTCGCATTGCAATTAACAATTTCATCGGTGCCGGCGGGGATCAAATCTGCGTTGCTCGCGTACTGTGAAATTTTCAGCGAGCTCTTAATTGTTGAGCAACTACGACTAATATCTAGACCCATGTAAAATTATCCACTACCCTATATCATTCCGTGTGTGTCGTAAGAGGCGACAGTGGGAAACTAAAACAAGAGATGGACAGCAGCATCGTCCTGATAAAAATTCAAAATTACAAAAACTGCGGTTACCAATCCCCCTGTCGGGCGTAGCAACTATTCCAAAATCCTCCCTAAGAGGCAGAATATGGGAGCGGCCTATGTTCAACAGTGGTCCTTTTTAACGGACGTTTAACATTTCACGAAATCATTGGTATTCTTTCTACATTGTTATATTTAATTTACTACAATAATTGTTTTTTCAAATTAAACGCAGATCCAGTCAGTCTCAAGGTGGTAATGGACTGCATTGAGATTACAGTGCAGGACTCGGATGTTTGTGAGATTCAATTTAATGGAGAGGAAGTGCAACCACTGTACAGACTTACTCTTCTTTTTACTTTTTTTCATTAATAGATTCATATAAAATTTAGTCCCACTGGGTTTCTTACTGGTTCTTCCCAGGACAATGCGTTTTTTTCGAACCAGTGGCAAAGTAAAAAATGACATTCAATAAGAATTATACATGTGATCTATATTAAATAATAATAATTCTATTTTATTCTATTATACGAGAGTTTAGGAATAGAAAGTGCACCTGTGCTTGCGCTCATATTTGTGCACTATAATATTTTGTGCTCATGCTATTCACGTTGGGATTGATTTGGTGACCAGAATGATTTGGTGGTCAGTGTGGGGGCTTATTATAAATACAATTACACCTTGAATAATCTTATGCAAAATTGAAATTATAATACCACCAAATTACTAAGCCAACAGTTTAACATAACGTGCAATACATGATAGGAGATTTAATTTTAATTACGCATTGTTTCATTTTGTATTAAGTCAGGTTTACCGCGAAGCATACAATTGCCAAATATGTTGACTTAATTTTCGTAAATAAATTAATTGTTAGCCATGCAAAGCGTCCGCTTAATAGGGAAATATTACGTCACATACCATTTAAAATTAAGTGATGATACAAATAATTTTTATGTATATATAATTTTTCGGAACTTCGAATTTTGCTTCAGGTGGTTTTCCTTGCTTAGTAAGGTACTTAAGGAAATTAATAGGGCAAAAGGCACGATTTTTAAGTATCCAGTCTATAAACGAGTGTCTTTATAAGTGCAGGCATACAAAGTAACCCAACTCCCCCATTCCACTCTCTCTGCCAGAGCAAATCATAAATGATCCATTTGACCCGCCTTTGTAGGTATTTTCAAGAATGCGCCACCTTTTTAAATGCTTTTAGCCCGTGGTTAATTACTAAAGCTACTCGATTTTACCACATAGTGCATTTCCAAGATTTGTCAATTTGTGAGTTGGTGAATGCAGAGCTATTACGACTTGAGCACAGTACGAGGGGTACGAAACGGGAACGCTTGTACTCGTCACCAGTCTTTCATTCCTAAGTTTTGGATGAATTTTGCACCATCACTTTGTCGTCAGAGTCTTTTCCATCATCAGAAGTACTCGCATGCACAGTGTGTAGGTAAGGTAAGTTTAGTATTTGGAGAAATATAAGTTACACGCCATCTTTTAAAATATAATTTAAGTCATTGCCCTAAAATCACAGAGTTCACAAAGTGACTAACTTCAATTTGTGAACATATTATATTGATTTTAAAATATATTAAACAATTTATGAGTTTTTCATGTTTTAAAAAATATATTATTCGATATTCAAACATTTAGGTTCAGCCAGGAGAGCCACTTTCAGTGTGTCCTATGTATAACGAAATGCGAAACAAACCGTTTGTTTCGAATGCGTGAAATATCGGCAACATAGTTGGAAAGGCCTGCTGACTGCTTGGTTGTTTAATAGTTGCATGATGTGTTCCATGTTTACCTTAATAAATATTTTCAAAAATATAAATATTTTATAAAAATAACAAAAATAATAATTTAGATATTTTAAAATAATTTCCGCAAGAATCAGGGAAATAATTTTATAGTACCTATTTTCAGTCATCGTTTTAGTGTAGTAAGACACTGCCACATTGAACTAATTATAATTTAAATAATAAATCACGTATTTCGTTTTAACGTAGCAGTTCACTACTGGATTAGGAATCTACATGGGCGTCCTCTTTCCGCATCGAAATTATTGGCTATCATATATAGTTTACCATAGTAATATGTAGATACTATTACCCTTTTCTGAGTATTTCACATCAAAAGATAAAATAAAACACTTTGTTGATATTGTTATATCCGCATGTCAGAAAGAGGTCTTTCTTAGAGACGGGTAGAGATACTAAGTTAAAGTTAATAACAAATGCTTTGGATAAGGTCTGCAACCGAAACCACTTACGATCTGTAGTCGAGCAAGAAAATCCATTTACCCTAATGAAACGAGAGATGGGCAGTATTTTTCTAATAATAACTAAAAATATTAAAATAATTTCCAGCCCGCCTGCCAAGCGTGGCAACTACTTCAAATACAGTCACTTATGAGGTAAGCTATGGACATTTAATAGGCTGTAACTATTTGTAACTAAGGTTTACAGTGCCTTGTTGGTGTAAAAATTCGAGTTTCTAGTTCTACGCAATCAAAAGTTTATTTTCGTTTGCCATTTATTTCGCATTATATATTTTGATATTCGCAAACTTACTTATAAAAATCTATAGGGTACTTTCCGTTAAACTAGAGTCATAGACTTAAACAATATGCAAGGTCTTACAACACAAGTTAAGAAAATATTTTTAGCGATTGATGAAATGCGAAAATTACATTTGCAGTTGGAGCATCAACTGTAATGTAGAACAATGTAAGGGACAGCTTTTTTACCACTGTAAAGTTAAGATCGTCATTCAATTCAACTTACCTTTTCGATCCTTTAGTTTTGCAGTTAAAGAACAAAAAAATCTTTATAGTTTCGCCTTTTCCGTCCGTCCGTCCATCCACGGTTTTACCCAGAGACCGTTAGTGCTACAAAACTATAATTTAGCATAATTATTTGAGGGGTATAGTACAATAATTTTTCGATTCAGGGATCCGTTTGCGAAATATTTAGCTTTAAATAGGCATTTTTATTAGGGTTATATGACCCCCTCCTCCTCTCCAACCAAGTTAACCGCTATTTTTGGAAACGTGAAGAGTATGCACGATAGTAGTATATATAATAAGGTTAAAAGAAAAACTAAACTACAGCTAAGTAGGCTTATGAAGTTAACGAGTAATAGTCGACCATAATGATTTCTTATATTTACGCGAACACTACACATTGAATAAAACTATTTTTACGGATTTTATCGCGTTTAATTTACTTATTTTATATTCCCGACGTTTCGGTTGCTTTCCAGCAACCGTGGTCACGGGGGACTGAGGTGATTGACGTCCCGATGTCAAAGTTAACCCGGAGTACCTTCAGCTTTTTAATTATTAATTTTGGTCCGATCTACGCAGAATGAACTAACTGTGTCTTGAAGTCTTACAGTGGTATGCTTGGGTTTAGTTTTAATTTTATGAATTACAGGATCCCAAGCAGGTGGTAGTACCCAGCCTCCCTCTCTATTGAAATTAGGATGTTTTTTAATTTCAATAGCCTCACGTATCATCCTTGGCAGGAATCGATGTTCTTTCGCGAGGACTTGTGGTTTATCAAATCTAATGTAATGACGGGGGCCGTCTAGGATATGATCACAAACTGCAGACTTCCCGGAACGTTGGTGCTTCACGTCAGCTATGTGTTCTTTTACGCGGGTTTTTATTGATCGTTTTGTTTGCCCTATATATGAGAGACCACACTCACAATCAAGCTTGTATACTCCTGCATCTTGTAGAGGAATATTGCACTTGACGGATGGTAAGAACTGACTAATCTTCTTCAGCGGCTTGAAGAATGTTCTAATAGAAGCTCGCTTCAAGATGTAGCCAATCTTGTCTGTGACACCTCTGACATATGGTAGTACAGCAGGCACACGCTCGACTGTGGCCGGCTTCACTCGGTCACTGTGACGTAGGCGCGGAACCCGAAGCTTGTTGTCGTGCAGAACCTGCTTGACGTGCTGAAGCTCGGCGGCCAGGTGTTTGCTGTCACAGATCCCTCGTGCTCTCTGCAACAAAGATTTGCCCACGGTAGCTAACTGTGAAGGGTGATGGTGGGATTCACCGTTTAAGTATCGGTTTGTATGGGTCTTTTTTCTATACACAGTGTGACCTACGGTGTTATTAGGATTTCGAATGACTAACACATCTAGGAAAGCTAAAGAATTATTTGCCTCTAACTCCATAGTAAATTGAATTTTAGAGTTTATGGAATTAAGATGTTCTAAAAATGCAGTTACTTTGTCTGATGGTAAAATTGTGAAAGTATCGTCTACGTACCGCTTGTAGAAACTTGGAGTTACTGGTGCAGTAAGCAGGGCTTTCTCCTCAAAGTCCTCCATGAAAATATCGGCGACAATGGGAGATACCGGTGAGCCCATCGCAACACCATCTACTTGCTTGTAAAACTGTTCCTTCCACAATAGGTAGCCAGATGTAAGGCAATGTCTGAGTAATACTGCATATTCTGCTGGCATGTTGTTTTCCTCTAGTTTCCTAGTTATAATTGAGATGCAGTCTTCAACAGGTAGGCATGTAAATAGAGACTGAACATCAAAACTGACCATAGTTTCATTGTCAGTAAGACATAGGTCTTTTATCTCACTGACAAAATGGTATGAATCCTTAGTGTGTGCTCTTGTATGTCCTCTGAGTGGTGATAGTACTTTTGCTAAGTGTTGAGCCAATCTGTAAGTTGGCGAATCGATCTGACTCACTATTGGACGTAATGGAGCGTTCGGTTTGTGTATTTTTGGTAACCCATACAACTTCGGCGGTTTGGCACACGTAGGTATTATCGAATTTACGTCTAGATTCAGTTTCTCGGAGTATTTCTTTATTAGATCGCTAGTTGTTTTAAGCGTATTAGTTGTAGGATCTGTTTTGACCTTTACATACGTACTTTCATCCGATAAAAGTTGTTGTATTTTAAAATTGTAATCCGACGTATCCATTATAACCGTAGCATTACCTTTATCTGCGCGGAGAATCGTAAGATCTGGTCTGTTGCGTAAGTTTTTCAATGCAGTAAATTCATCTTTGGGAAGATTTAATTTTGGCGCTGAGCTTCGACGTAACAAGGACGAAATGTCTTGACGTATAGCCTCTAAATCTTCTTTACCAATATTATTTTTATACAGACAGTCCTCAACACTACAGATAATGTTTTCATACGGAATTTTTCGCGGTGTTATAGCGAAATTCATACCTTTGGCCAAAACTTTTATCGTCGCGTCGTCTAGAGATTGTTTTGACAGGTTATAGACCGCACGTTGTTTATTACTCGCGTCTGTTGTCAATGATTGCGTTCCGTTATTACGTTGACATTGGCGTTGGACATTTGATTTGGTTGTTAGTTTTTGGTATTTATCTATATGTTTATTTTTGCATTCATTGTATTTAGTTGTTTCACGTTTGTCTAAAGTTTCCATGCAATTCTTATAATCAAATGTCGATAAAACTGTCTTTAGATCACTGGACGATTTGTCTATGGTTTTATTAATGAAACATAGATCGGTACGTTTTTGCTGAATCACCGTTATTAACAATTTTTTGCTTGCCTGATTTAAGATCTTAGCGCTTCCTCGAATGTCTTTTTTAGTAGATATCTTGACACACGTAGGAATGAGATTATGGTCTCTGCATCTCTTCAAGAAGTTTAAAGCTGTTATGTATCTTGCGCGCTTGGTTTTGAGATCTTCTAGTCGGCGTATTTTATTTGCTATTTCCAGTCCGTACTGGTTTACATAATGATTTCTTATATTTACGCGAACACTACACATTGAATAAAACTATTTTTACGGATTTTATCGCGTTTAATTTACTTATTTTATATTCCCGACGTTTCGGTTGCTTTCCAGCAACCGTGGTCACGGGGGACTGAGGTGATTGACGTCCCGATGTCAAAGTTAACCCGGAGTACCTTCAGCTTTTTAATTATTAATTTTGGTCCGATCTACGCAGAATGAACTAACTGTGTCTTGAAGTCTTACAGTGGTATGCTTGGGTTTAGTTTTAATTTTATGAATTACAGGATCCCAAGCAGGTGGTAGTACCCAGCCTCCCTCTCTATTGAAATTAGGATGTTTTTTAATTTCAATAGCCTCACGTATCATCCTTGGCAGGAATCGATGTTCTTTCGCGAGGACTTGTGGTTTATCAAATCTAATGTAATGACGGGGGCCGTCTAGGATATGATCACAAACTGCAGACTTCCCGGAACGTTGGTGCTTCACGTCAGCTATGTGTTCTTTTACGCGGGTTTTTATTGATCGTTTTGTTTGCCCTATATATGAGAGACCACACTCACAATCAAGCTTGTATACTCCTGCATCTTGTAGAGGAATATTGCACTTGACGGATGGTAAGAACTGACTAATCTTCTTCAGCGGCTTGAAGAATGTTCTAATAGAAGCTCGCTTCAAGATGTAGCCAATCTTGTCTGTGACACCTCTGACATATGGTAGTACAGCAGGCACACGCTCGACTGTGGCCGGCTTCACTCGGTCACTGTGACGTAGGCGCGGAACCCGAAGCTTGTTGTCGTGCAGAACCTGCTTGACGTGCTGAAGCTCGGCGGCCAGGTGTTTGCTGTCACAGATCCCTCGTGCTCTCTGCAACAAAGATTTGCCCACGGTAGCTAACTGTGAAGGGTGATGGTGGGATTCACCGTTTAAGTATCGGTTTGTATGGGTCTTTTTTCTATACACAGTGTGACCTACGGTGTTATTAGGATTTCGAATGACTAACACATCTAGGAAAGCTAAAGAATTATTTGCCTCTAACTCCATAGTAAATTGAATTTTAGAGTTTATGGAATTAAGATGTTCTAAAAATGCAGTTACTTTGTCTGATGGTAAAATTGTGAAAGTATCGTCTACGTACCGCTTGTAGAAACTTGGAGTTACTGGTGCAGTAAGCAGGGCTTTCTCCTCAAAGTCCTCCATGAAAATATCGGCGACAATGGGAGATACCGGTGAGCCCATCGCAACACCATCTACTTGCTTGTAAAACTGTTCCTTCCACAATAGGTAGCCAGATGTAAGGCAATGTCTGAGTAATACTGCATATTCTGCTGGCATGTTGTTTTCCTCTAGTTTCCTAGTTATAATTGAGATGCAGTCTTCAACAGGTAGGCATGTAAATAGAGACTGAACATCAAAACTGACCATAGTTTCATTGTCAGTAAGACATAGGTCTTTTATCTCACTGACAAAATGGTATGAATCCTTAGTGTGTGCTCTTGTATGTCCTCTGAGTGGTGATAGTACTTTTGCTAAGTGTTGAGCCAATCTGTAAGTTGGCGAATCGATCTGACTCACTATTGGACGTAATGGAGCGTTCGGTTTGTGTATTTTTGGTAACCCATACAACTTCGGCGGTTTGGCACACGTAGGTATTATCGAATTTACGTCTAGATTCAGTTTCTCGGAGTATTTCTTTATTAGATCGCTAGTTGTTTTAAGCGTATTAGTTGTAGGATCTGTTTTGACCTTTACGTACGTACTTTCATCCGATAAAAGTTGTTGTATTTTAAAATTGTAATCCGACGTATCCATTATAACCGTAGCATTACCTTTATCTGCGCGGAGAATCGTAAGATCTGGTCTGTTGCGTAAGTTTTTCAATGCAGTAAATTCATCTTTGGGAAGATTTAATTTTGGCGCTGAGCTTCGACGTAACAAGGACGAAATGTCTTGACGTATAGCCTCTAAATCTTCTTTACCAATATTATTTTTATACAGACAGTCCTCAACACTACAGATAATGTTTTCATACGGAATTTTTCGCGGTGTTATAGCGAAATTCATACCTTTGGCCAAAACTTTTATCGTCGCGTCGTCTAGAGATTGTTTTGACAGGTTATAGACCGCACGTTGTTTATTACTCGCGTCTGTTGTCAATGATTGCGTTCCGTTATTACGTTGACATTGGCGTTGGACATTTGATTTGGTTGTTAGTTTTTGGTATTTATCTATATGTTTATTTTTGCATTCATTGTATTTAGTTGTTTCACGTTTGTCTAAAGTTTCCATGCAATTCTTATAATCAAATGTCGATAAAACTGTCTTTAGATCACTGGACGATTTGTCTATGGTTTTATTAATGAAACATAGATCGGTACGTTTTTGCTGAATCACCGTTATTAACAATTTTTTGCTTGCCTGATTTAAGATCTTAGCGCTTCCTCGAATGTCTTTTTTAGTAGATATCTTGACACACGTAGGAATGAGATTATGGTCTCTGCATCTCTTCAAGAAGTTTAAAGCTGTTATGTATCTTGCGCGCTTGGTTTTGAGATCTTCTAGTCGGCGTATTTTATTTGCTATTTCCAGTCCGTACTGGTTTACATAATGATTTCTTATATTTACGCGAACACTACACATTGAATAAAACTATTTTTACGGATTTTATCGCGTTTAATTTACTTATTTTATATTCCCGACGTTTCGGTTGCTTTCCAGCAACCGTGGTCACGGGGGACTGAGGTGATTGACGTCCCGATGTCAAAGTTAACCCGGAGTACCTTCAGCTTTTTAATTATTAATTTTGGTCCGATCTACGCAGAATGAACTAACTGTGTCTTGAAGTCTTACAGTGGTATGCTTGGGTTTAGTTTTAATTTTATGAATTACAGGATCCCAAGCAGGTGGTAGTACCCAGCCTCCCTCTCTATTGAAATTAGGATGTTTTTTTAATTTCAATAGCCTCACGTATCATCCTTGGCAGGAATCGATGTTCTTTCGCGAGGACTTGTGGTTTATCAAATCTAATGTAATGACGGGGGCCGTCTAGGATATGATCACAAACTGCAGACTTCCCGGAACGTTGGTGCTTCACGTCAGCTATGTGTTCTTTTACGCGGGTTTTTATTGATCGTTTTGTTTGCCCTATATATGAGAGACCACACTCACAATCAAGCTTGTATACTCCTGCATCTTGTAGAGGAATATTGCACTTGACGGATGGTAAGAACTGACTAATCTTCTTCAGCGGCTTGAAGAATGTTCTAATAGAAGCTCGCTTCAAGATGTAGCCAATCTTGTCTGTGACACCTCTGACATATGGTAGTACAGCAGGCACACGCTCGACTGTGGCCGGCTTCACTCGGTCACTGTGACGTAGGCGCGGAACCCGAAGCTTGTTGTCGTGCAGAACCTGCTTGACGTGCTGAAGCTCGGCGGCCAGGTGTTTGCTGTCACAGATCCCTCGTGCTCTCTGCAACAAAGATTTGCCCACGGTAGCTAACTGTGAAGGGTGATGGTGGAATTCACCGTTTAAGTATCGGTTTGTATGGGTCTTTTTTCTATACACAGTGTGACCTACGGTGTTATTAGGATTTCGAATGACTAACACATCTAGGAAAGCTAAAGAATTATTTGCCTCTAACTCCATAGTAAATTGAATTTTAGAGTTTATGGAATTAAGATGTTCTAAAAATGCAGTTACTTTGTCTGATGGTAAAATTGTGAAAGTATCGTCTACGTACCGCTTGTAGAAACTTGGAGTTACTGGTGCAGTAAGCAGGGCTTTCTCCTCAAAGTCCTCCATGAAAATATCGGCGACAATGGGAGATACCGGTGAGCCCATCGCAACACCATCTACTTGCTTGTAAAACTGTTCCTTCCACAATAGGTAGCCAGATGTAAGGCAATGTCTGAGTAATACTGCATATTCTGCTGGCATGTTGTTTTCCTCTAGTTTCCTAGTTATAATTGAGATGCAGTCTTCAACAGGTAGGCATGTAAATAGAGACTGAACATCAAAACTGACCATAGTTTCATTGTCAGTAAGACATAGGTCTTTTATCTCACTGACAAAATGGTATGAATCCTTAGTGTGTGCTCTTGTATGTCCTCTGAGTGGTGATAGTACTTTTGCTAAGTGTTGAGCCAATCTGTAAGTTGGCGAATCGATCTGACTCACTATTGGACGTAATGGAGCGTTCGGTTTG